TGCATTAGCTTAATTAAAAAAAATTAGGATTTATTCATGCATTATTAGCTAAGATACACTAGTATACAAATTTTCAGCTCATTTATATATTTTGAATTAGCTTTTTTTTTAACAAAGTAAACATATCGCATAATCTTATCTCAATAATTTAATAATAATAGCATTTTTCTTTCTTTTCTTTCTTTTTTTTTATCGCAGGCTCTATTTGTTTACAAAACCAAAACGCGTACGACTTGGCGAAAAACGATTGGCGCTAATTGGCGCAGCTTTCTATTTCAACGGAGTACACGGAAAAAGAACATAAAATTCGATTATTTGTATAAGGTGATTCCAGTAAATAATGTTACAGTATTTAATACATTTTGATGCTATTAATACATGCTGAAAATGTCATATACAGCGGCAATTTTCTTATACAATATGAAAACTTCCCAACCAATTCAACAGAGATAATAAATATAAAATCTGGAAATAAATAATAAATCATTCAGTTTTAACTTAGCTATAAAAGGTTACAGATCCTCCTTTTACAAAACTTTCTTTACATACATAGGCGCTGCAGCAGATAACCATTTTTTCTTAAATTTTATGTGACCAAGCACAGCAGGTGTCTTTCGTGCCATAGAAATGAATGTAAAGTATTTCCGGACTTTCGGAATTTGACCAGCAGTCACGTAACACTAATGTTGGAACTGGTTGGAGGTTGCAATAAGCTCTCTACCAGTATATATCTCGTTGGGAATGACTGGCACAGATTTGGTAGAATCTTCACCAACTTTCATAATTTGATGGGATAATATGCAAGTACCATATTATGTACAATTGTGTTGAAAAGCAAAATAATGCAACTATATGACTACCTGCCTAGGGCAGTGATTTTCAGTCTTTTTTTGCCTCATGCATCCTTTTTACCATTGCTGTATGGCCATGCCCTTAACTCAAAACAATATATATATATAATTTATTTACTAAATATTGATTATATTATCTCCTAACACTCTACTTTCAAAATTGAATTCTTTATAATACTCTACTTAATTTGGCTGTTATATCTCGAATTTTTAAAAATTATTTAACCTAACAGAACTACTTCATTTTAATTAATTTAAATCTCACTATTTGAATTAAAACTCAACTATAATTTTGGCCTTAACTAAATTCTTACTTGATTGCACAACCTTCTCATTTATTAATTATTTTTAATTGAATAGGGGTTGGTTTTTTCCCCGTGAAAAGTCAACCAATTTTCAATCAATATTGATAATTATTTGGTTTATTAATTTTCATATTAAAAGTTTGAATTTCTATTTTTCATGATTTAAATTCAAGTTCCTTTAAAAATATTTTCAGGATTAAATTTAATACTTCTGGCTTCATTTAGATGCGTTCTACTAATTTTATTGCGTTGGCAACTACGTAATTGCGGATTTTTTTTAGAAAATCAAAGAAAATTTTTTCATGGAACTAAATAACTTTATTCTGTAATGCAGTGCTCTGCAACCGGTGTGCCATGAGTAGGATATAGGTGTGCTGCAATCAAATACATGTATTTGACATTTTGCAATTTTTTATCATGTACACAATGGCAATTTTTTTTCCTTATAATGTCTATTTTAAATGTTTTTTATATATTTCACTGTTGTGTGGTTGTGGTGTGATTGTAAGTGTGTCAGCATTTGAATTTTTCGGCACTTCCTTGATAACTCGGAACTCTTTGGTGTGCCATGAATTCCAGAAATTTTAGTGCTTCGCAGTGAGAAAGGTTGCGGAGCACTGCTGTAATGTATTGCCCATTTTGATCAATGACCTTTTTCCATTTTTCAGGCAGCATCATAATCCCCACGTTCATAAAACTTCTGGTTTTTATTAGCAAAATCTGAATCGGTACATTTGACATCATCATCATATTTAAATTTTACCATCAAGGAGTTTTGTAATAATCGAAACAAAAGTAATGAGATGTGCAAGGTCAGGACTATATGGTGGATGTGGTATAACATCCCACCAGCTCCAATAATTTTGCCGAGTGACCAAAATGTGTGTGGTCTTGCATTGTCATGATGAATACAACACCTTTTCGATTTGTCAATTCGGGCCGCTTTTCTTCAACTGCATTGTTTAATTTGTTATCAATGTAACATCAGAATTGATCGTTTGGTTGGGTGGTAAGAGTTCAAGTACAATTCCTTTGTAATCCCACCAAACTGATAAAAACCTTTCAGCTGTTATTTGAAAATCACTTTTCACTTTTGATGATATCAGCTTTTGAAAATGTTTATGTTTTGGTTTCAGTCCTAACCCCTGCATCCACTGCAATCTCACACTTGATACTTTGAGGTCGTCATCGTCTTCAACGGGACGACCAACGTTTCATCTTGAGTGAAAAAGCACCAACGAAATTTGGCAACCAATTTTGACACTGCCGTTCTTTTAAGGCTTCATCACCATAAACAGCACATAACTTTTATGAGCTTGCGATGCGTTTTTCCCTATGCGGAAATAAAAAGCAAAATGAAAAACTTTCCTTTTGATTTTCCATTTTTCAACGAACCTAAACGAAAACTACGCAACCGATCAAAAAACTTTTTTACTGATTGACAACTATCAATAAAAATGTGTTTTACATTGTACTATGCGCAACCCAAAATTCAACTGAAGCCATCTATGAGTGAATCCGCAATTACTAGGGCCAATCCAATATATTAGGAGATAATAGAATCAATATTATTTAGTAAATAAATTATTATAATCTTACTTGGCAGCTATTGCGCAAGTATTAAGAAATTTATTTCGATTTCAATGAATTTTAGTCATTATTTCATATATATATAACTTTTAATTAAAATTTGACACTTTTCCATTTTGCCGGCGCGCAACGATAAAAGTCGCCAATAATGGACAACTGATGCCAAACAGAATCCTCGCTGTAACGTTTTTACGCCTCATTTCAAAACAATCGCAGCCATTTTATCAGATTGATTGTTTCTTTCAATACTGGCATGCAATTACATAGAATTTTTACCAGATAGCTCAATTTTATGCCCTAAGGCTATTTGCAGTAATTAAGTCAATTAGGATGCAATCCCATTGCTCTCCCGAAGGTGAAAATATAGAAAAGGCAAAGGGTTAAATTCATCAGTTCAAATGAGAATGCACTAGCAAAGTAAAGCACTGTGGTTTTACATAATTTCTGAGTAAGCTATTCGTACCGAATTGAAATAATTTTTGCATTTAAACTTGTATTCCAATTAAGATTTAACTTGAAATTAATGTAGATATTACTGAGAGAATAAGATTTTTGTAGCGCATCTACATGAGATGAGATCACTTGGGTCCTATATGAATCGGCGAATCAGATGTTGAACCTGATCATAGTAAATTTTTAAATTAATGTCTTTTTACAAATTTATTGTCTTATTTATTGGCTTTTTACAAAATTTTAAATGATATTAAAATGTTTATGCCTTCAAAATAAAAAATTCTTAAAACTAACATTTGTTAACATTTTTATTGTGTATTCTATATGTTGTCGCTAATAAAGTCTGCTTGACGAGATTTGCACCGGCGAAATGGAAAAGTACCAAAAATTTTTATTTACATTTGTTTTTATTGAGGTGCTTAATTCACATATGCTCTCTGAATTTGAATGATATTCAAAATTAGTTCACAGCAATAATTAATCTTTTATTTGTTTACAATTGAATTTTCATAATTTTAAAAATTAAAATAGCTTTATATGAATGAGATAATGTTTTTGTGTTTGCAGTGGCGTAGCTAAGGTTTTCAGCGCCCGGGGACACCTAGAGATTTTGCGCCCCTTTCTGTGTTCCAATTGTGGAAAACATTTCATTCTGTAATGTGTATCATCAATTTGGCGCCCCCTGGATGCTGCGCCCGGGGACGGATGTCCCCCTTTGCCCCACCCTAGCTACGCCACTGTGTGTTTGTTAAATTCAAATTTCATTCCTTGCAGCAATGGCGAAAGACAATTATTTAACTTTATGTCAGTTTCTTATGAAACAATGTCTTGTTCGTACTTAGCAGCTAATTACCTAATTAGATTTTCTCATTTCATATAAGTAACTAAATTTTTCATGTTCTAATATTTTTTTTCCTTTAATTTCCTGGTAAACGTTTTATACACTTTGTTCTAAATTTTAATTAAAAATTTTTTGTTTGCAACATCTCTTTTTATTAAGATGCTTACATTTAATTTACTGAATATAAATGATATTGCAAATTAATTCGCAGCAATAATTAATCTTTTATTTGTTTACAATTGAATTTTCATAATTCATTATTTAATAAAAATTAAAATAGCTTTATATGAATGAGATAATGTTTTTGTTAAATTCAAATATATGCATTTGTTTTAGATTCTTTTAATATTTCACAAATTAAACAAGAAAATTACAGAAAATGTTGATAAATACCAAAATTTGAGTAAAACTAGTTTTTAAATTCATAATCTAAAATTAAATACTTAACAGGTAAATAAAAGGCTGATTGCATATCCGTCCTCCTTGTTGAGAATCTTTGTTCTAGGTTGAGAGTCCTCTTGTGCTTTTCCATACCCAAATAATCTAACCCGGAATGTGCAGAAGAATTCCACTGGATTCCAAACCACATCTTGAATCCCAGCAGATGAACTAGCTGCATATGCATTTTTGTCGATTTTTCTCATGTCCAGCATGAAAATAAGTCAATTTTACTTGGAGGATCCTACATGAAGGTAACCCCTCTTAAGCAGATAGCCATCACGTGTTTCACCATAATTGATTAAACAAGCAAAACAAAATTCCTCTCCTGAAATCCAATACAAGATTTTGAATGGCAATGGTAACGTTGTACAGAAAAAACATTTTTATCTCCAGCACGTAAGTTTGTATCAGATATTCTAAAGATATGCTCATTTTAAAACTATCTTGTGATATATTGCTGTTGAACTGAATTTTATGGTTTAAGTGCAAAGAATGCGATATTTAATAAATAAATGTAACTCACAAAATGTTTAAAAAACACCCCCTTTGAACATAATTTAAAATCTGAAACATTTCAGATTTTTTTTTATTATTTATTTATTTATTTTCATTTTGCTTTCCCCAAAAGTTTGAGAATACTGATTGTTATTTTTGAGTTATTTATTTCATTTTTAAGATTGAATTTCCCATTAGTTTCTCTCTGTGTTGCGTTTTATTTCATTCAAGATAATTTTACTTTTAAATGAAGTTATAAAATTATGTTCAGTGAATAAATGTTTAAAATTGTAATTGAAATAAAAATTGTACACATATTAGTAAATATACAAGCAAATACACTAATGGCAACTATTCTTCCAGGAAATCAAAATGGCAAAGGAAGATTTAAAAGCAAAAGGATTCAAATTTTGACTTGTGATATGTTATATTTTAAAGGACATTCACTGTTATTTTTATGGATCATTCCACAGAAATATATGTATGTTATTTTTGTAAAATAAACATTTAATACCAATATTGTAATTTTACTGCATCTACAAAATGAAATAATGAAGATGTATCTTAAATTTATTTAATCTCTTAAATATTTTACAGAATTCTTTCAAAAAACAGATTTTTTCACTGTCCCAATTTATTATTCATAAAATTTTGAATTGATTGGTATCATTAACAGCATATTTTTACGTTTATATAGCATTAATAACCTTCACTTTTTGTTTTGTGGTTTCCTTCTTAAATACAAGATTAGCCGGAATGCTTTAGTGTATGCATTTGTATATAAAATGTATGCTGTCAATAATTTATATTTTTATTTCATAAAGCTTGGCTTAATACTTCATTATTTGCACCCATAAGTGATTCTTGGCATCTGAAAATGCTTGTTTTCTCTCTAAATACATATATAAGAAAACCTAAGTTGTTTCATCAGTAAGATAAGATATGGTGAGTTTCTGCTTTGTGTGCCAGAGTCTGAAAACGTCATGTTCCAGTCTTCCAATGAGAATCAAGCGCCACTGTAGGTCATCTACAATATATTAGCAAAAGAGCGCAAATCAAGATCGAATTTGCTATTTCATTCGTCTTGCCAGTGAGCAGCATAAGTTTCATGTGCTCTCAGGAAACAGTTTAAGAAACTGCAATCTTTTAGTTATGCCTGCAAAAAATATAAAATATTCATGTACTTTTAAAAAATTATACACAAAGGACTTCTATTATTTCATCTAGGAAATGTAATATTGCAATGTGTACAATATGTCATTGTGGTTTTTTGATTTCACACAGTGGAAGGGCTAATGTTTTTAAACATGTGCATACACAAGGAACTTAATTTTTCTGTGGAAACAAACAACCAAAAAATTATTAATACAGAATGGCCATTCACTGCCTTTTTACTGGAACGCAACCTGTTATTAAATGCATCGGATCATGCTGCAACTTCCTGATAGTGAATTGCTAAGAAATACTCAAATGCAAAGGAAAAAAAAAAAAAAAGGCTTCAATTGTAGAAGAAAATGGATACAAGAAATTGGTATGAAAACTAAATCTTCAGTTATTTATTGCATTAAAATAGTTCCATTCTGCCTGTCTACGGATGGAAGCAATAATACCAGTGCAAAGGTGTATCCATTATTTCTTTTTTAATCCAAAGTCTTCAGAGTTTACTTTCTGTCCCCTCTTTAGAAGGAGATTCGATAGGCTCTAACAGCTAATTATTAACACTTTAAAAACAAGTACAGTTCTTCAGAATAATTGCTTAGTGCCGACAATGCACCAGGAATGTTAGGCTTGAAGACTGATAATGCAAGCATGATAAAAAAAAAAAAAAAAAATCAGATTTACAAATTATGAGGTGCACTTGTCACTTCTTAAATTTAGCAGATTCTAGCAGAATAAGATTCTTTGCTAATAAGTGTGGATGAAAATACTGTTATTTATTATTATGTTGAAAAGATTTCTAAAAAGAAGGAAAAATTAAAACAATTCCAACAGCTACATAATACTGAAATAAGAAAAAAAATCTCAAATATATATGTTGGTTAGCTTTAGAGAACTGTTTATCTAGAATTCTTGACTAATGGAGCCCACTTCTTACATTTTTTAAGGAAGAAGTAAATGCTTTTAGAGATAAGATAAAAGGCTCTATTAAAAGTTGCAAAATACTTTAAGTAAATGGACATGTAGTTATTACTTTCATTTTTAAGAATAGGTCTGAGAAAATGTAATTTCTGCACCTGCAAGAATTTTTGACAGTTTTCAAAATAATATTACAAAATATAAGCATAAAGTTCTCCCAAAATAAAAATCGCTTGATAAGGGACACATTTTCTGATTATTGCAAGTTTTATCTTGTGAAGAATAAAGTATTATTTAATGATTAAAGAAACTAATTAGAAGAATTTTCTGTTATTAGAAGGTACATGTAATAAAAAATTTTTTACATGTATGTATTTTTGCATTATTTGCATTTAAGAAATAGTAACTGAACTTTCAGATATTAATTAGGTATTATTTAAAGATAATTCATTATTAAGAAATATACTTTCTTTCTGTATATTTCTATTTAAAAATCTTTTTGTTGTTCAGAAAATTATTTTGATTTCTAAAAAAATCTCCTGATTTTTGAGTGCCATAGGTTGGCAAGTATGAATACATCAGCACTAGTACTAAAAAAGGAAATGCACATCAGACAAAATACTCGCTCTCAAATCGTTCAATGCTGAAATCATCCTTCCCTTCTCCCTGTAAAATTAATTTCAATTGGAGGAAAAAAAGATTGGGAAAGGGGGGAGAAATGCACAAAGTGCATGTTTTGTCTTGTTCAGAGTTTCAGAACAAGTAATTGTTAGTGTAAAATCAAATATATGGGATTCACACTGCAACTGATCATTTCTGCATTTAAAACTGCTATAGTCATGATGAATACACACACAGTTTTTTCCAATTCACTTTGGGAAGGGCAAAGCTTAGAGGACAAAGTCGGTTCAGAATGACCACTCGACAGTTTAAGGATTAATGATATTTGAGAAATCATGATATTGTAAACAATGTGTTATAAATGAAATCAAATGATTTATTAAAAAATATCAGCAGAAAGTAATAATAGTGACAAAGAATATTATAAAATCTGGTCATCTTTCTTCATTACAAGGGCTGTGACTGTCTGGCCAGTTTTTCCACCAAATCCTATACTAGGTATTTTAATTTCATCGTACAGCTTGAAACCTTCAAAATATACACATATATGATACAAATTAGTAAATTCATATATAGCATATCTTAATATACATTTAATGTACATTTTCTATTACTTATAATTCTAAAATAAAAAAAAAATAAGTAATGCAATCTTATTTTTATAAAATATGTTAAGTTTATTTTGGACAGTTTTAGAAGAATATGTAATAGCACTTTATGACATACTAACTTTCATCTTAAAATTTTAGGCTATGTATGAGAAATACATATATAGCCTAAAATTGAATTATAATTATAAAACAATGCTAGTTAAATACTGTTTATATATATATATATATTAGTCAAACAGCATTTAATATTTATCAGAGTTTTATTAGCCGTATATGGCAAATACTAGAATTTGCTAACTTTTGGCAACCAGTTATCCTTACTTAGATACACTGTGCCAAAAAAAAGGGGGGACACTGTATCTCCTGATCTACTGGGCTGGATGAGGAAATCCAACTTGCGTTTTTCATGTCTCGGAAGCGCGACTTAGGATATGTATTAGATTTATATATAGCATTGTACTAATATAGGTATTTTGACACAAAAACGGACTTTTTCTGAAATGAGATGCCAGTTTTTTTCCACATTTCAATTCTACAACTCAAATAATACCAAACTGCCAATTTTGTAAAAATTGCACGAGGAGTTTTAAAAAAATTAGCTCTCAAAATTTTAGCTTGTCAATATTAATTGAATTTGATATATATTTATTAAGCTCTTATTTTTTAATTGACCGATTTGATTCCTTCTTCCAGAATTCGAAATTTAGGCTTAACCCCTTAACTGCCACGGGCATATATATATTATATGTTACCGTGAAGGACTGAAATTGGAGAATGTCGACTTTCACTGGAGAATGTTAACATTCACCAAATACGTTGGTGAAAGATCGAATATTGCACTATATTCTTGTATATTCAGACCCTCACCAGTGTATGTCGACAATCACAGATATGCTCTAGTGTAAGTCGAAAAGGGAGGTCATAAAGTGCCATAATAGTTTAAGTTGTAGCAATAAATAAGATTTGAATCACATAATTTAGTAAGTTTTTTATTACTGTTATTTTATTTTCTCATTTAGAACGTACTGTATAATTAAGTATACATTCAAAGAGAGAAAGGAAAATAATAGAAGTTAACTATTATTTTCCTTTCTCCCTTTGAATGTATTGTGTTTTAGGTTCTCATGTTCTTATTTCAAGTCTCAAGTGCGTTTATTCGTGACTGAATTATGGAGAAGAAAATATAATATTGTTATATGTTCAACATTCATCATTAGTGCATGGTGAATGTCGACATTGACTGGTGTAAGTCAGAAATAAGAGTATTTGGAAAATATTTCGGACATACACCAAGAGACTATGTGAATGTTGACATTCTCCAGATTTTGGTGTTTCACCGTAACATATATATATATATGCCTTGCTCAGTTGATGCGTTAACTGCCCTGTGTGTATATATATGCCCATCTAAACTACTATCATTTGCTTTGCGCTGCTACCCGTAAAATTATTCACAAAGCTTTGGAATGCAACACCACAATGACATCGACTATGTATGCGAAAGAGGATACTATTTCAGAGAAGTGTGGGGAGAAATTGGAGAAAGGGGTGTGTTTAAAGTGGTGAAAGTTATGACTGCGTGGTATTGGCTGGTGTTGTTCGAGTAAAACGTATTTTTTAAAATTCTGTGTCCTTCGTTTTCGTTTACTTTTTGTAGTAGGTTCCAGGAATAAAGAAAGATATAACAGATGTTTCAAATCCATTTATCTTTTTTGAATTATTTTTTGATGAACTGCTCATGCTTCATATTGTTACTGAAACTAACCGTTTTGTAGACGAGTATATGAACCAACACCTTGCAAACGAAAAATCAAGAACCAAATTGTGGCACTCAACCAGTTCAGAAGAAATATATGTTTTTTTGGGCATACTGATTTCACAAGGTATAACACTGAAACTTGATAATACACTTTACTGGTCTAAAAATGAATTGATCAAAACTCCATTTTAGGGATCTTTTTTATTATAAAAACATCATTTTTATTATACTTTTACTCAAAACATTAAATTTTGTGCATTCTGATGCTAAAACAAAGTTTAAAGTTTATAAAATTAAACATTTAGCAATAAAAGCTCCCTGAGATATGTTGTGGAGACATTGAAGACAATAAAGAAGTTTCAAACTTAACCAATTTATTAACAATATAAAAAAGAATAAAAACACAAAAAATAAATTTAAACAATATCAGAGTCTTAGGAAAAAATATAATATAACCATCATTCATCAAATAATATTTTTACCTGGTCTCCAAAAATACTGGCATTCAATATAAACAAAATGTCCTAAACAGTAATTATGCGGTCTCAAATAAAATTGGCTACACATTCAATAAGTCCATGATCAATGGTCAAGAAAGCACCTGAAATTTAAATTTAAGTCCTTGAAAGTACTTAAATCCGGCCTAACTCTGCTTACTTAGTTGAACACAAGGAATCATAGCTCAGTAAAAATCGCCGCTAACTTATTTTAAATGCCACCTTCATGAAGAACATGGATGTCGCCCACGGCAGTCACTCACATTGTAGACAGAACCAAGGAATTTATTCCGGAAAAGTCAACTTGTGACTGAACCAAGGAACTTATTCTGGAAAAGGTCATCTTGTATACAGGAACCAAGGAACTTATTCAGGAACAGTCATCTTGTGGACAGGAACCAAGGAACTTATTCACCGGACTGCATGCATCCTTCAAAAGGGGCTGGAAACCGCACACCCAAGTGCCAGGAAAGCAGGAACTAGAAGGGCTGAGCCAGAGTGACGCGAGATACTTATAGCAGAAGTAGGCATGACGTCATCTCAACCAATCAGCTATCGGCACGATTCGGGTTTCCAGGTGACGTTACATCACATTTCGTTTTAGCATGTTAATTAGGTTGAAACAGTCCGTTCTTAACACAAACAGTGGCAGTAAGAAAAAGAAGTAGAACTACTATATTACATTAAAATAAGAACTAAACCTAATAAACATTTCAAGGAGGGGAGATGATGCAGTAAAAGGGTTACAATAAGTCATATTTTCCAACACATTCATTTTTTTTCTTTTATTCTTTATTTTGTGAAAGTAAACAGTTTTCAGAAAGTAGAACTTGCACTTACTTTCCCGCTAATACATTGCATAATTACGCGCACCTGTGTGGCACTGGGAAATGAATCTTGCACGTTTTCCGAGACAGTTAAGGGGTTAATCCAAATACAATTTGCACATTTTTTATGATTTATTTTTTAAACTTGTATTTTAAAATACTTTTTATAATTAAAAAAAATCTTTATATTAGAACCTATAAAATTTTTAACATCATCTTAAAGAAGATGCATTTCTAGGCACATCTGCAAAAAATTAAAGTTTTTTAATTCAGAATTTTCTAAGCTATACGTGAATTTACATATTGGCGCATTTTGAAATTTGGACTATTTGTCATAAGCGATAATAATGCTAAACGTGCTTTACGCATTTTGTTAAAATTATTTGAAAGTATGAACGATGACCATTTTTCTACCCTCGTACAACGAGTAAAAGTAAAGAAAATAGGTTGCTATAAATTAAGAAGTTCGCCAAGTAAATTATTCTTGGCACAACTGAAAAAAAGGTGCCAACATAAATTTTTAAATATTGAAAAAAATGGTATGTTATTTCAGAAAACAAAATACCTATATTAGAACAACGCTATATATAAATCTAATACTTAGCCTAAGTCGCATCTTTGAGACATGAAAAATGCAATTTTAATTTTGTCAATTGGCCCAGTAGAACGGGAGATATGTCCTTTTTTTTAATTTTTGCGCAGTAAACATAAGGTCCCAGGTTTTAGGTCTCCAAATCATCTAAAACATTCCCGCCAATTTCCTGAGAGTAAAAATTTGAGGATTATTGAAAAAATTCAGGGGAAAAATAAATAAACAAATAAAATTAATTTTGTAGAGGAAACTGACACTTATTTTTTTATTTAATTATACTTATCATAAAAAGAAGGAAAATAAGACAAATGAAATTAATTCTAGCATAATTGTAGTAGTTTTGTTTTGCCTGTGCTATGAAGTACTTCAAAAATCGCATTCAATAAAATTTATTATCTTAGTTATTTTACAGACTCAAAAAAGTATTCGAGTTTAAAGTAAAAATGAATGTCAATATGATAAAAAAAAAAAAAAAAATGTGCAACGGCACGCAGTGCTTTCACTAGAACGGTTAAGGTTCTAAAGAACGAAATTGGTAAAGGTGCTCAAGCAGATAAAGATGTATTAAAAGATAAAATTGTGAAGTTACAAATGATAACTGAGATACTAGATTTATTGATTAAGGGCAATGCCACTGAAGCTGATTTAGAAACCAAATTTATAAGCTATGAGGAATATTCCGATGAATTTATCACAATTGACAGAAAAGTTAGTGAATTATTAAATGTAAACAAAGTTCCAAATGACACAGTTTTTAGTAAGTCAGTGGTTAAACAGTATAAATTACCTAAATTGAATATAAAACTGTTTTATTCTCAGTTAATTAATTATTTGCCATTTTGGGCACAGTTTAAGAAGATACATGAAGAGAAAGAATTAGATGATTGTGATAAGTTCCAATATTTGCTACAAGCTGTAGAACCTGGAACCCGAGCTAGGCATTTATTAGAAAGTTACCCGATAACTTCAGAAAATTAGTCAAAAGCTTTGCGAGCTTTTTAAAAGTGTTATGTGGGCAAAGATATTCTTATCGAAGTGTACATCAACGAATTTTTGAAATTAATTATTACAGCAAATATTCAAACTAGGGATAAAGACAGATTATCATTGTGTGACTTATTTATCAAGGTAGAAGCACATTTAAGGTCTTTAGAATCCATAGGGAGAGATATGGAAAGTAATTCAGCCTGGCTATACTCCATGATAGAACGAGCATGGCAGAGATACAATATTAGGAAAAAGGAAGATTCTGATAGTGAAGTGAGTTTTCCGAAGTCGAGTTTAACATTGTTAATGAACTATTTGAAGAAAGAGGTAGCGGGTGAAGAAAGATTACAGTTGGCCAGGTCAGGCTTTGAAAGTATTATCCTAAAAGAGAAAATGCTAAAAAGGGATATCAAGTACCCTACTGCAGCTGGTTTATTTGCTGCTAAAAAATGTCGTGTTTGTTCTGTGGTAAATCACATAAAAGCAAGGACTGGATAATAGCCAGCTCATTCTCTCTGGGAAAAATAATAAAGAAAGTCAGGGAAAAGAACTGTTGTCTGAAATGTTTATGCTTTGACCACCGTGCCGAGATGTGTAAAGTTTTTGTATACTGTCATGTCTGCTCAAAACCACATACAGAGCTTTTCTGTCCTGAAATAGGTAAAACGAAAGAAACTAGTGAAAAAAGTAAACCCTCAGCGAATATCCAGAACACACTCACAAATCAGCAGTATTAAAAAGAAGTAGCCCTCACATCACTAGAAGTACCAATTAAGGGTAATAAGAAAATTAAGAATTTTAGGGCACTATTGGACAGTGGGTACCAAAGGAGTTATATTTTGAAGAGTACTGTGAAAGAACTTGGTCTTAAGCCTCTTGCTACAGCAACTATTACCCACACGGTATTTGGAGGTGCAGAAATAGAAGCTAAACCTCATAGTAAATATAAAATTAAATTAAGTGTACTGGATAATGGTCACAAATCAGTTCTCATAATCAAATTCCTTGAGCAAAGAAAAATATGTGGGAAAATTCCACACATTCCAAAGGAGTTTGTTATAGAAAAGCTTAAGAAACATAGATTATGGATGTCAGGTATTAGTACTGGGTGTCCAGAAACAGAAATTTTAATTGGACAAAATCACGAAAACGCCCATGCAGACAGCTCGTTTGCGGGATTCGAACCTCGGACCGAACTACCAGTGTTCAGCGACTTTACCGCACGGCCGCTAGTGGGCTAGTACAACAAGAAGATTAAAGAAGTTAAATAAATTTGAAGATTATGACCTAGTGTTTAAAGAATGGCAGAAAAAGAATGTCCTACAGGAAGTCCCAAAAAAGGAATTACAAGATGTAGGAGGCCATTACTTGTGCCACCATCCAGTTATTAAGCCAGAGAGTGCCAGTCTATCAGACCAGTTTTTGATGCCTCGTGCAAAGTTGGAAAAGCACCATCCGTAAATGACTGTCTCTTCAAAGGACCAAACTTGATAGGAGAAATTTCAGCTATATTATTGAGATTTTGAGAAAAGGCTATAGGTGTTGTATCCGACGTTAGAAGAGCCTTCCACCTAATTGAAGGAAGAAGATTGCTGATTTTTGAGATTTTTATGGGAGAAAGCAAATAAAATTAAAGTCTATCAACATAACAGAGTGTTATTTGGAGCTACTTGTAGCCCTTTTATACTCAGTGTAGTTAGAAAGTACCATTTGAACAAGTATCCAGAACTCAAAACAGTTACTGACAAACTCTTGAAGTCCTTCTATATTGACAACTGCATAACCTCCTTAGCCAGTGCATCCGAATTAGAAGAATTTATTTTTAATTTATCCGAATTAGAAGAATTTATTAGACTGAAATTATGGCTGAAGATAAGATAAATTTGAGATTATGGCAATTCGGTCCAGTAGAAGAAATAGAAAAGTTGTCATCTGAGAACAGAAGTTTGTAAAGGAGATCTTACTTACAAGTTCAGTTTTGGTTTTGGGGATTAGAAGGAAAGAAAGGAGGATTGTTTCATGATTTTGACCCTGAATTAGAAAATCCTACTAAATGGAAGACCTTGTCTATAAAACAAGGTATTTACAATACCATTGGTTTTTCTCGTCCCAGCATTGTTGCCAGCCAAGCTAATGATTCAGGAGGCCTGGTTAGCTAAGTCAGAATGGGATTCTCTGCTTCCAGAGAAGATTCAAAAGGATTTTCAGAAATGGTATAGTGAATTGAAACAATTATCTAACTTAAAGGTAAACATACGTATAGGTTTTGGAAATAAAGAAAAATGGTCCATACATGTTTTTTGCGACATGAGTTAGAATGCATATGCAACAGTCATTTTCCTGCCCCGTGAAGATAATAATAGGATTTCGGTACAGCTTCTAGGAGCAAAATCATGACTTGCTCCAAAAAGACAATCCCACGTCTAGAACTTCTTGCTTGTGTTTTGGGAGCCAGATTAGCATAGTACATTCGTGAGGCTCTGGATGTTTCTACAGTGCCAATTTATCACTGGACTGTTCAACAGTTATAGCATGGATACGAATAAATAACCAATGGGGTACTTTGTGGGTAACAGAATCAGAGAAATATGCAAACTGACAGAATCACACCAATGGTATCTTGTCCCAGGCAATCTAAATCCAGCGGACCTGCCATATTGTGGTTGTAGCCCAAAACATCTTATCGAGATGAAATGATGGGAGGAACCAAAATGGTTAAAGAATGAAGAAAATAATTGGCCCAAGTTGGAACAGGTTCCTAATGAAGATTTAGTTATGTCAGAAAGAAAACTGCAATATCATTATTTACCTGTGCAAAAGTACATCAATTCATGAACTATGAAAGAATTTCGAAATTTTGCAGATTTGTAAATATTATTTGTTGGATGAAAGGATTCATAGCCAAATGTAGAGATAGAAATTATTTTTTCCTATCTGAGCTCTCGATCGAAGAAAAGAAAGGAGTAGAGAAGTTCCTTTGGTCAAGAATTCAGTTAGAAAATTTTGATGTTTCAGATACTGTCAAAGGTCTCGTTGTTGTGAGAGATCAAAATAACATAATACAAGTGACAACCAAGCTGTTAGAATGTGATGACGAATTTCCATTCAAATATCCAATTTTGTTGCCATCAAAACATCATGCAGTAAATTTTTTAATACAAGACTGCAATTTAAAGAACTGCCATGCTAGTCTCCAGGCTGCTAGTTCCATCCTGCAAGAAAATTATTGGATTATTTCTGCTAAGCGTAACATCCGAAGTGAATTATCAAAATGCATGAAATGCAAAATATTTACTTCAAAACTGTTTGTCACTCCACCTATTCATCTTCCATTTGACCAAATCAAAGACTCAAAAGTTTTTGAAGTTGTGGGCATCGATTTACGTGGTTCTCTGTTTCTAAAGAACATATCCAAGGTATGGATTTTCATTTTCACATACACTGTGCATCGATCCCTACACTTGAAATTAGTGACTAATTTGTCAACAGAAGGTTTCATCTATGCCCTCAGGAGATTTATAGCGAGAAGGGGAAGAATTTCAACAATCCACAGCAGCAACGGAACTAACTTCAGGGGTACCAACAACCTTTTTAAATCTTTAAATTGGAGTCAAATAGAAAATTCTGAAGACCTAGCTCCCATTAAATGGAAGTTCATGGAAAAAAAATTGACAGTTTCACTCATGCATGTATTGGATTTGCGCAATACTTAGGTGGTCCCACAAAATTTTTAAAAATATTATGGGGTCCTGGGCATTGCGAGAAAAAGGAAATGCAACTGAAAAAAATTTAAGAAACCCTGTTTTATGTGAATAAAATGTGATGTCAAGAAATAGAATTGTGGATTTTCTGTAAAACAGATTCTTCTTGCCAGCTGAAACATCACGTCAGATTCAACGATGCATCAGAAAAGGTAAATGAATTTTGTTCTTATTTTTTTTAAAATCAGTTAAATAAAATAGAACCTGCATACGTTAGTGGGTGCTGACAACTTCGATCAACAGTTGTTAATTAATTATATAATTTAATAATTATTTTAATACCATGACAACATTAATACATATATATTAGAAATTCTTCATTAATCGGCAAATCATAGAATAAAAATTTTATAGATTAATTGTTTAAAATTACTTAAAGTTTGATAAGTTGCCAAATTTGGTGAAATATAACAAATAATTTCATATTCAAAAAAAGAAACTTATTTTTGATATAATCGTGATAATTCAAATGTCTTCCAAGAGCACATTTGTAATCCAAATTTTGCATGCAAAATCATAAAAAAAAGTTGCCAAATATGTATAACTCCTCATTAGCTAGTTTCTCTGTTATGAAAACTAGGGAAATGAGGATTGGGGAAGATCTCAGACCACTTAATCACGGCCTGAATAATAGATATATTTTACGTACCAATAAAATTGGATAGTAATTCCTCTTTGGTCCAGTTGCAAGAAAAGAGAAGAAAATAGCCTTCAGTAGATAAAAGTTGCTGTACTTGTTTCAGGTATTGTTGTCTCTTCTCTGTTGCATTGGCAGGATTAAGACAAACTGCATCATAAGTTCCTAAATAAATTATGCAACTGATAACTAACACAACTGTATTGAAAACAGATTTTTTTTTATTTATTTTTTTATTTTTAATACATCTCAATAAGATTTATAATTTTGCTGTGTTTTCTTGTTTATTATTTTGTTATGCTATTATCTAGCTTGACCCTTCAGGTTTAACAAACTCTATTTCTATAATTTTTTATTTATCAACAGAATATATTTACATGTATATGTCAAGCCACATGCTGGGTAAACAGTGCCATCTAGTTGCAAATGAAAATTCCAGAGAAATTTTTGTATAAGAAATAAGAATTCCAATTTAAATAATGATCATCAAGATATTAACACGGAATAATTCCTCATTTAGAGAAAAATACCACAGTTTTATTTTTGTTAAGCTAAGGGAGAAAAAAACCTCTATAAAAAAATCCTTTTGATTCCCCCCCCCCTTTTTTTCCATTTTATTCTAAAATGCAATCTTCAGAAAATAGTTTCAGATATTGAAATAATAATACCATGAATTTTAATGACAATTGCTGTAAGTGTTATTATTTAAAAAAGTGCTCGAAGTTTAATTGGAATTACTAAAATAATTATATTGCTCATACAATATCTGGGTTAACTCCAAAAGACAACAAAATTTGCTGCCAAAACTTAAAAATTAAATTATGCATCATTATTATTATTTTTAGCATATTTCTAAATTAAAATCAATTACAAAGTAACTAATGCTTATAAATTAATACTTTACATTTATGAAATCTTCCAATACTATCTACCAAATAGCAAAAGAGTAATAAAATATACAGTCAAAAGTCGTTAATTCGGACACCCATAATCCAGTCCTCAAAGCTACAAACTTTCTGCGCATGTGTCTCATTGATGCATGCGCATAAGACCTTTACGGCTGCAAATATGCATGTGCGCATGCATAAAATACGTTTACGAATGCACGTTTAATGTATAACAGATGGTATAGCTTAGCTAAAATTATCTAATTCAGTTAATGTTGCAGATTGCGTTGTTCCTTAATCTTCGAATTGGATCCGGCTTATTATTTTTTGCAGACTGTTAGAGCAATTTTATAAAAGTAAGCTTGAACTTTCGATTATGTCACATAGAATTTCCGATATATATTTACTAATATGTAAAGGATGTACAAAGCGAAAGTATATGTTTCGAAAAGTGCATTAAACAAAAGTGGAATTGCTGCAAAATATGGATAAAGGCATCGTTTGATTATCTAATGTTCTGAAATGTGTTTATCAATTTCACGCTGCTCTGCGGGGGGAGGGAAAGGGCATCGCGTGCCACAATGAATTGGAAGTTGATCTGTCAGCACTATCCTTATCTTCAGGGCAGATGCAGATTTTTTATTTTATTTGGCTTATAATTTCCTTTACTAAATTGTAGTATTTCATCTCGATGTACTCTGTCTTTGATATGATTTAAATCAAATTCCTCGTCATTATAATTCGCTTCCGATAGCGAAGAAAGTGACACAGAGGTTATTGAAAACGAAAAAATTTCGATTGACAAATTAGTCGGTATTCTCGACACAGCAATTATAGGACTTGAACAGCGGAACTTTGTAACTGAACAAGAAATTATGTCTGTTTATAGAATTAAAGAGAAAGTATTATCACATAAAAAACGAAGCAACTTAAACAACTTACATTGAAAGAAATGTTTAATAAAGTAAACAAATAAATATTAAGCTTTTTTTTTTTTTTTTTTTTTTTTTTTTTGTAAATTTTGATACCCTTTAGATCATAATTGTTCTTTATTTCATAAATTACGGTTTTATATTTTTAATTTTATAATTTCTGCATGCCATCTTTCTGCATGATCATCTTTAAACTGATGATCAATAATCCAGAAAAATCGATAATCCGGAATCGCCAAAGTCCCGACAAGTCCAGATTAACGACTTTTGACTGTACTTCTATAATGTCACTGACAATTTTTCTAGCAGAAAACAAGTGGAATAACATTTTAAAATGCAGAAATTCAAATCTGAGTTAAAAAAAAAAAAAAAAAGATAATTAGTCCAAAGGGAAGGACTATTGTTTTCATTTTGCGATTTTGTGTTGAATCACTATAAATGTCCGTTTCACTTTTGAAACTGTTGTCACCAAATGTTAGAGCCCTGCATTATATTTGAAGAAATTAAATAATGAAAAACCTGCTTAAATGTATGCATATTTCTTGCATTGTGATAAAACAACAGTACATAGAGCCATCGAATTTATAATGACGTAAACCTCCTACAAATATGGGCATGTGGAAGACCAAATTTGAAATTTGAAATTTATTTTACAATCGACTTCATATTTTGTAAAACTTTAATGAATTTTTTAATAACAAACTCAAGGATTTCAAAGCAAGCAATGGCAACACTCTACTGGGGGGGGGAACTTTTTATCTCCAGCATGTGGAACTGTGTATCGAAAATTCTATAGATATGCTAATTTCAAAATTATTTTGCAACATTGTTATTGAACTGAATTTTATGGTTTAAGTGCAAAGAACGTGATATTTAATAAATAAAGGTAACACACAAAACGTTAAAAAACCGTCCCTTTGGACATAATTTAAAATCTGAAACCTTTCAGATTTTTTTTTTTTTTAAATCTTATGTGTTATTTTAAGTAATTACATTACTATAATACATTAGACATTTTCTAGCCTTTTTGGTGTGTACTGAAAAGAGTAGCCAAATGTTCTTGATGTGCTACTGTTTCCATAATAATAAGGCAGAAACAATTTAATAAATGTAGGTTTACTTATTATAAAAATGCAAAACTTTAGACAAAGCTAAACACACCATTAATGATTACAACTCTACAAATAGAAATCAAAACAGAAGAGAAACATGTCAAGGTAAAATACAAAATTAGCAAAGCAACAACCTTATGCTTGGATGAAGTCTCGTACATTTGTGCATGAAAACGTGGAAAATACATCACTTATTTTGATCAACAATTTGGGAAATGTTATTATGGAATGGTTAAATGACTGGAAAATGTTACCAAGTATGGGATAAAGCCACTAAACTGCTTAGTTTTTATTTTAGTCAATGATATAAAATTAAACAATAGTAAACTTTTATTTAGTTTGTCACAGATTTGAATAACTTGATTTTTCAGATTTAAATAACTTGTTGATTTTGAGATCATTCAGACATGTGTCTTTTCTTCAAAGATAAGATATCCTTTAGTGGCTTTCTGAAAGAAACCAAGTACATCACTTATTAAAATTTCTGAAGAACAAAGAGATGAAACCTGTGAATTTCCTATAAATGCTGATATAAGGGATGCTGAGTCAACATTGACTCAGCATCCCTTATAGTCAGGTTAATCGAGAATCAGGGATGCAACATTGGTCAAATAATTTTAAGAAACATTAGACACAATTCATAAAAGAACTTTTAGATAGTGCCTTGCAAACAATCCACTAGTAACAACTTTTTTCCTAATTAAAAATGCCATGAAAGTAAGTACTGATATATTTCTACTCATATTTATGTTAAATTAATTAAATTCTATTGCTAATTTGAAGGATATTTTTTCTCTTCATTTAATGTTATCAAAATAATCAAGGACATAAGTAATCACATTAAGTGGCGAAAACTGTAGTAATATTAATGAAAACCTTTTTCCTCATTACTCTCCTTTTTTGCCAAAAACGAAGTTTTCCAGAACTGGCTGATTTTTGGCTTCCTTAATCTATTTATTAAATTTCATTTTCTGAGAGTGTGACTAAACTTTTCAAAGGAATATCTTAGATAGTATCCAGCAATAGAGAATGTTAATCATAGAAGAAACAATATTTTTGTTTTCTTAAACAAAATTTTGCCACCATATTCAGCCACAATGATGCTAACTCCAAAGAAAATGCCAAACACTTCCAATTATTTCTTAACCTCATGTTTATAGCCAGCTTAAATAGCACTTGTATTGGATACATGCATGGTGGGTTATCAGAATTTTACTCTGCTTTAAGAATGAAATCCTTACCTTTGTCAATTATAATATCAAAAGTCTGGTTTAAGATGCCTGAATTGGATGATTCTGAAGAATTAAGAAAATCTAATGCCTGTAAAAATAAAAACATTATTAAACCCTTACATAATGCATACTTTAATTTCAGTTTGACTGACTAACTTTAATATACACATTTAATCACTGATATAAAATGTATAGAACAAGAGTTAAAAAAAAAATTAACAAAATGAGAATGAAAAAAGCATGAAATAAAATTTGATAAATAACACTAGTATAAGTAATTATAGATGCTTCAAAAGATTGAGTAACAAAATATCTCATGAATAATTAGTTGTAAAGTTGTGATGAAAATTTAAGGAACATATCCAATGGGTTAGGCTTAATTCATTTCTTAAAAAGGAATATAACAAATTAATTTAAAAATGGGAATAACAAAACATAAATAAAATTTAATAAACAAGATTGCCATACATGTAAGCTGCAGTTTAAGTAAACTAGATGTAAATACATGTTTTTCGAATAATCATTTGTACATTTGTGATGCAAATTTTAAAAAAAAAAAATGAATCACATAAGGTTGGCTTGATTTATTCCTTAAATAATGGTACAATAAAAGTTTAGAAAATTAAAATTAAAAAAAAAAAAAATCTAAAACTTTTGTATTTTTATTACACCCAAAAGAGAGTTATTATTATTTACATACACATACATGTTTTGAGAGCATTTGGGCTAAAAGTATTTAAAAACAGTACATTTTTAGAATTTCAGATAGATAATCTCACACGCTGGAGATAAAAATGTTTTATTCTGTACAGTACTGCCATTGCTCGCTTTGAAATCGAGTTTTTTTAATAAAAAATTCGTTAAAGTTCTACAAAATATGAAATAGATAATAAAGCAAATTCAAAATTCCGGCTTCCAAGTACCCATATTTGGGTGGAGGACTACATTATTCAAAATTTGATGGCTCTAAGTACAGTTTTTTTTTCAATGCGAGAAGCATATATACATTCAATAAGATTCTTAATTATTTAATTTCTTTAAATATAATACAGCATGATAATATTTAGTGGTAACAATTTGTAAAGTCATTCAATGCTTTTTGATTCGACGGAAAATGACGACTAATAGCCTTTCTGGGCTAATGCTCCTTTGAGCTAATAATAAATAAAACAAAAAAAAAAAAAAAAAAAAAAAAAAAAAAAAATAATAATGATAAAAAAAATCATGAAATAAAACTTGATAAATAACTTTGCTATATGTGTCAGCTGCAGTGAAAATAGTTATACTGGATATTTCAAGAGACTGCATGATTAGATATCTCTTGAATAATTCATATCTGTGAAGCATATTTTAAAATGAAACAACTAGAGTTGGTTTCATTCATTTCTTCAATAGAAGTATAAAAATATTAATTTAAAAAATCCCAAAGCTTTCAGATTTTATATTTATATATTACCCCCAAAGGGGTATTTTTTAACGTTTTGTGTGTTACCTTTACTTATTAAATATCATGTTTTTTTGCACTTAAACCATAAAATTCAATTCAACAGCAATATCACAATATTTTTAAAAGAGCATATCTTTAGAATTTCAGATACACAGTTTTGCGTGCTGGAGATAAAAGTATTTTTTCATCCTGCACAGTGTTCCCATTGCTCGCTTTGAAATTGTCGAGTTTGTTAATCAAAGATTATTTAATGTCTGACAAAATATGAATTAAATAATAAAACAAATTCCAAATTAGGGTTTCCAGATGCCCATATTCGGTTGAGGATTATGTTATTCAAAATTTGATGGCTCTAGGTACCGTTGTTTTATCACAATGCAAGAAACATACATACATTTATGCAGATTCTTCATTATTTAATTTTCTTTAAATATACACAGAGCGATAATATTTGGTGGCAACAATTTGAAAAGTGAAACACCAAAACAAAATTAATAGCCCTTCTGGGCTAATGCCCTTTGGCCTAAAAAAAATGATCAAATAAAATCTCATAAATAATATTACTGTAAATCTTTGTTGCAATATAAACAGTTATACTGGATGTCTGGAAAGATTGCAGGTTAAAGATTAAATATCTCTTGAATACTTAGTGTAAGTTTATGATGAAAATTTAAGAAACAATTCATTTAAGAAAAGCTTCAAAATCATAATCATTGCATAAAATTAAAATTTTTTTCCTGTTACCTTTGTTAAAATAAAGTGGGCCTACCGATGGCCAAGTGATTAACTCTGATAGACAACCTGGGTTTGAATTGTAATGAAGAGATCAGCACCCTAGGGTATTTTCATGGTTTTTCCTAAGAGTAATATAAATAGGATACATTCATTTTGAAAATCCTCCACTAAGGTATCCTAAAATACAGCTTGTAGTTTGATAACTTAATAACATAATATTTACAAATTAAATACCAAAGACTAAGAAACTGGTTCCTATGGTAGTGCATCTTCTTGTGTAATTGCAATTGAAAAGCTAACTCATCAGCAATCATCACAGCAATGCACTAAATCCATAAGACAATATTCCAGATATAAGCTACCAAAGCCCTCTGTTTGGTACTTACATGTTATTGCAACCACCTTAGTAGAAATTGCCAAATTTTCAAAATGTGCAAACTTTGACAACCTTGCACATAACCATTATTCAGGCATCCATCTCATAATAATCTTCAATCCACAAATGTTGTCATTTTCATGTGCATTCTTTTTGTTCCAACATTAAAAAAAAAATCATGATTTTTTTTTAAATTTAATTTTAAAATATGGGTTTCTGTAATTTGCCGGCAATGGAAGAAAATATGGTAAAACTTCTACTGAAATACAGAATTCTGTCACAAAATTTCTAAAGGGAACAATGCGAGGACATGCATTTGGCAAACAGCCACTGCTGCCAAGGTTTGCATTATGCCTAGTCTCTGCAATTCTGAGATGTTTTTAAAGCAAAAATGGATCGCTGTGTGCTTAAGAAGAAACATAAAACAAAAATATAAAAAGATTTGGAGAAAAATGCAAGTGTATTATTTTTTTAAATATTGAATGAAAACTGAAAATTTTTTAATTAATTTCTTAATTTTTTAATTTTTGTTAATATTTTTGCCAACAACCTTCTTGTTCGCTTTACTTCTGTAGCATATAGATATGACCACTGTGTTAACTGCTTTCTAGTCCTGCAGATTTCTTTGCTCCTGATGAAGAGGAACCTATTCATACTTACCTTCGAAATCAATTAAGTTCTTGACTCAATCTATATCAAACACATTGTTGCTGCTTTGCTAATTTTATGTTTAACTTGTATTTCTCTTCTTTTTCATTTTTTAATATGTAAGCAAACTACTACTCTCTAAACTTATATGCTTTCTTGTTAATTAACTCATTTAATCTGCATTTTCTGGTGGATTATAGAAAACAGAAGAAGTACAGGAAAGCTTCAACATAAGAATAAACATGCTAAGTAAAATAAACCTTACAGTATGAATCGTAGAATAAACAAGCAATAAAACAATCAAAGTGAACTTTGTCTTTCTGCCAAGAAAGAAAATGAGTATTTAGGTTTATCTTGTTAAAAATTCTACTTCAAATTAACACAAAAGTTTTTGTGTCCATTCTATTAAATGCACTTTGTATTTTTACATATAAAGTGTTTTATAGCCATTTGACAATATGTAATACTGATGATACATATGTAGCATATGCTTATGACTAAGTAGAGTGGTGATGCATCTACCGCAGAACATTTGTGAACAGCTTGAAGTCTTGTTGCAAAACATTGATTCAGAGAACACAAGGTTCAAATTACAATTTACAGAAAACCTGATAGTATTCCAAATTTTACATTATAAATTTCTTTGCAACCCCCCAATTAAAGTTTCTAACTTTTCTTTTAGGTGAGAATGATTTAAATCTTACCTGAATCCAGAGCTAATTTTGCATATTATCATCATTTCTTCCAAAAAAACTCTCTAATATGATAGGGGATAGTTTACTAATTGACATTTTCCTTCAAAAAGACTCATATAAACACATAAATTTCATGTATGTCTAAACCATTTCAATCAATTTTTTAAGAGCCTATTTTCCAATATGACGCATTTACAAGGATTAGATAATTTGCTAATTGATACTTGCTCTACAGAGCACTCATATAATTTAAGTTTCACATATTTTTATTAAAAGATTCTCATTGTAATCAATTTGTTTAGAGCCTGTTTTGTATAGTATAGCCTTTTTATTTCCCTCTTCTTAAAAATCTTTATTAGCAGGATGGGAAATAATTTATAAATTGTCACTTTATTTATATAGAACTCATATAAAAATTAATGAATTCTTATGAAATTTCATTTATTCATTACGATTTTATTTATATGAAAAGCTGTCACTCTCTGAAAGGCTTACTTTCTTTGACTCACTTCGAAAATTGAAGCCATAGGCATACAGCTTATTCAAGAGATATTTAGAACTGCAAACTCTCTTTTTCTTTTTTTCCCCCTTTAGCATTTCATATACTGTAAAATTATAGAATTTTTCCCAATATGAATTAACACAAAGTGGAATAAAAGTTATAAATGCAGCAAATATTTTATATTACACTTACCTTTAACTTTATATCAACATTATTATTTTTAGCAACGCATTTTGCAAGTTCTATGGCTTCAACAGCATAGTCTACTCCAGTCAGATCTTCAAATCCAACTTTAGCCTACAGATGATTTTATAATTTTACTTAAGATGGCATTATGCAGAATTAAGAAATACGTTCATTTCACTCAGATAAATCAAGGATGTGAATATTTAAGCAAGGCAATTAGTGAAAAGCAGCATTAAATTGTTAAAGGAATCTCTCTTCAGAAAATTAAACTTCTGAACCACTTAATTTTTTTTAAAAATCAAAATCGCTTCAAAAAGTGCATATTTTTTTATTACATATTTCCAACCTACATGCATTTCAGACTTAAAAGACATAGCATATTTTCGTAACCAAGATTTTTTAATATAGAGTTTATACATAAAAACAGATTTTCATAAGAATCAGTTTTAAGAATAATCATATAATGATAAAATTTCTGAAAAGAAATCTTCATTAAATTAAAATTTACTTTACATAATACAGATGCAAATTATATATATTAATGAAAATATTCAATACTTATGCAAGTTATACTAGAAATTAAGTTTAGTGTGGAAAATTTCAAAGCAAGCTTACAGGCTAAGTCCTACTTCACATTCTTTGCACCAAATTTTATTTTTTATTTTATTATTTTTTTTTTTTTTTTTTGTGTGTGATTTTTTTTTTCAAGTTACAGTTTTCTTTTTGGCAACAAAGAGCATACAACTGCAGAGCTCTTTTATAATCGGGTTAGGATATATGTGGCTTGCAAAATAGCAAGCTGTCAATCTCAAAGGGTTAAGAGGAGAACTACATCTTTCAGCTGTGGCACATATATTTCCATCTGAATACTTTTGGATACTTTGCTCATTCATTTGCATATGAAATTCTAGAAGCTTTAATTTTTTAAATCGATTGTCCTTTTTGTAAAGCTCATGGTAATTGAATTATTTTCAGATTCCTCACTATCTGGAGATGAGTCCGAGAAATAACCATCTGTTTTGCTATTGCTATTTTCAAAATAATTAAAATCACTTTCAGTATCAGAAATACAATCAGGAACATAGGTTCTATCACTTGCTGAACATTTCCTGCAAGCCATATTCTGAATACAGAAGATGAAGATAAGAGCAGTGAGATGGCTTGAAAAATGAGTTAGTCTAAATATTGTAGAAAATTAATCATCAATGATTTAACAGGGGGAAATGTTGAATGTACTTTTATGTACAGGGGAAAACTGCATATCCACAAAAATCGTGGAATGAGCAAAATTTGTTACTTTCATGTTGCCCTAGAAATCGTGGAATAAGCAGTCAGAGGGTTAATAGCAATCTTCATTTTGATATTGCAGCCTTGCAGTTAAAACTATGAATAAAATTATTTTTGATTATTTGTATGCATACATTAATTTTTTTTAAACATACCAAGGATTTGGCACAGAACAGTTCTAAATAATACATTTAAAATAAAAGTTAGACGCTAGAAAATATGAACAACAGAAACAGAAAATTTGCAGATATTATTACAATAATAAAAAAATGGCATTTACATAATTTCCCATAGCTTCATTTGGAGAAATAAAAACTCTTGCAAAGCATTGTGATTTAGAGGTCATATGATGTCATAACACATTGTCTTATGAATGGGTTATAGATGTCATAGACCATATGATGTCATAACACATTGTCTTATGAATGTGTTACAGATGTCATAAGACATTCATAAGATGCTTTGACTTTTATGCAAACCTAACCACTTTTCATATTTTCTACATCAGCTCAAACTGTGATCCCCGAAGCTTGCATTGTGTGCCTCCTAGAACTAGAAAAAAAAAAAAAAAAAAAAAAAAAAAGACTCCCTTAAAAGGAAAAAAAAAAAAAAAAAAATCTCTGCATATCTATTGCTGAAAACCTCAATGAGTGTGATCAATTTTAATCAAACTAAATGAGTCTCAAAATTACATATAGCAATTCGTCTATCATTTTTTCTTCCGAGACTGACATTTTATGACATTCAATACCAGTAATCCTACTTAAGGGCTTCACAATCTAGTTTTAGCAACAAAATAAGGATCTGAAGCATTATATCTGGTGGTTTTTGCCAACATACTTTTACACATAGACCAGCTCAAGAATCAACAAGTTTATCCATCTCATTAATTTCAGCATCAACATTTATTTAATTTTTAGTTAAGGTATCCGAACATGTTGAAAAGGCCAATTTTGACAAAAAATGGGAATTTTCTTTTATTCATTCATTGGATAGATTGTTTATTTAGCTTTCTAAAAGAGATTTGCTTTTGCTTCTATGTTAATTAGAAACCGATATAGTAAGGATTTCATAAAGACGCAAAAACCGGAAATGGTAGAAAAGAACCAGAAATGGACATAAAAAAATTTCCCCCTTTAAATATAATTTAAAAAGGTTTTAAAGAGATGTAATCAAAGGAATCTTATCTGTAATCTGTGCGGCAAGATGAAATTATTTCAAATAAAATGCAACAAGTCTTTAATACAATCAAAAGTCTTTAATCCGGACGTCCATAATCCGAAATGATCTATAATCAGGACCTCAAAGCTACAAACTTTCTGCGCATGCATCAACACATAATGTGTTCACGCATGCGCGTTTAATGTATAACGGACGGTATAAGCTAAGCTAAAATTATTTAATTATCTATTTCAGTTAATGTTGAAGATTGCGTTGTTCCTTAATCTTCTAATTGGATCCGGCTTATTTTTTGCAGACTGTTAAAGCAATTTTATAAAAGTAAGCTTGAACTTTCGATGATGTCAAAAAGAATTTCCGATTCTGGAGCTACCAAACGATCTATAAAGCGAAAGCATGTTTTGATGTCCACCAAACAAAAAGTGGAATTTCTGCAAAAAAATGGATAAAGGCATATCCTTTGATTCTCTAACCATTCTGAAATATCAAAATCGTAAAAAACAACCTTATATTTAGCGTAGGTATAATGAAACACTCAATCGATTTCGAGGGCAGCTAAAGTCCCTCCTCATCAGGAGAAAATACATAGAAAGAAGAAAATAGGAGAAGGAGTCACAGAAACACGTAGTGCTTATCAGCACTGCACTTGGTTATAACTAGATTTTTAATCAGAGTTGCACTGGCCGCCTACTTTTACTGAGCCAGGCTGTCTGATCAAGCATAAAGAAATTAGCGAAGTTAAATAGGGAGCGAGGGTAAATGCACCTTACGCTCAAAATCTGAACTTCAAATAATGGAAAGCAACCACTGAACGGTTGGTCCGTTCGAACGACGCGACGCGCAATGAACTGGAAGTTGATCTGTCAGCACTATCCTTATCTTCAGGGCAGATGTTTTTATTTTATTCCGCTTATAATTCCTTACTAAATGTATTATTTCATCTCGATGTACTCCATCTTTGATATGATTTAAATCAAATTCCTCGTCATTATAAATATCACGAATACACATCATACAGTTTCTGGGTTGCAATTCCCTAACTTCAACTATGCATAATGTATGCTTTACCCATACACGTGTTGAAAGAAATTTGTTTAAGGTTAAGTAAACAAATAAATATTAAGCATTTTTTTTGTAAATTTTGATACCATTTAGATCATAATTCTTTATTTCATAAATTACGGTTTCATATTTTTAATTTTATAATTTCTGCATGCCATCTTACCAGATTAAACTGATGACCTATAATTCGGAAAAATCGATAATCCAGAATCGCTGAAGTCCCGACGAATCCGGGTTAAAGACTTTTGACTGTATTTTTATTATTTACATGTTGAAAGCATATGTCTTTGCTGGCATATGAGTTTGAATTTGATTTGAAACATTACATATTGCAATTGGATTTATCTTTTTCTTTGATTATTTTTAATAACATTCGAGTTAAAAGTATAGTAAAGAGTAATAAAAAAAATCAAAGACATGTTTGCAAATGTAAATGTGTAAGGAACAAATTTAAAAAATGAATTGCAAAGGAATTCGAAAATAATGTTAACAAAATAATTCCCATCAAGTGAACCAAAATTGAAATTAATCAGAAGGAGATGGTTTTAAAGGTGATTTGTGATGTGAAAGATATTTATGTTTAAATTGTGTGATCAAGTCTGAACGTATACGTTATATTCAGAAGCGCTGTTCCAGAGTTAGAAAACTGAAGGGAAAACAAAAAGATCTTGATGGAGGGGTCAAACGTCGCTCACTAATGTAGGTCTTTAGTGACAACCTTCAACACGGATTTACAATCAGGAACAATTAATGAAAAATGCTGTAATTGCTTCATCTTTTTCCACACTTTCTCTATAGCAAAATAACCTATGCATGGTCAGTGCCCAGATAGACCAGACATTTATTGTAAATATCAGTGAGCTGCATCAGTTGTACACAAACAAATCCACAGGACTGCCAAAGAATGCAATTAGTATTCCTAAGCCTGTATATATAAACCTATGTGAGCAGAAGCTTATATAAAAGTCCTTATAAAGAAAGACACAAAGTGCAAACAAAATTTTAATGACATGTTTTAGAAATATATACCGATGGATGCCTTTGGGGAATTACCAATTCTTAAATTGGGGACATATTTGGCTGTTGTACAATATAAAAGATGATTTCGAGGCTTACTAGGTATGCAACATGGTGAATATGCAGTCGAAAGGTTTAGTAAGTTCGACTTGGAACGAATAAGTGAATCAAAATATCACTCACTACCCAGAGTAAAATTAGACTGATTATAAACAGTAAAACAGATAAAGCTGAATAAAAAGAAGGTGTAAACTATAGATATGGAAAGTTTTAGGTATCTTTGTGAAGATTTAATAATAAAAATACAGCATATTAAACTTTAAATGCATTTTTATCATTCTTATTATTTTACTTTTATGAAACATTGTATGATTAATCTATATATAGTTATCTAGAGCAGAGTTTCTTAAACTGTGGGTCATGACCTCCTTAGGGGTTGCGGGACCTGCAGCAGGGGGTCACCAAAACTTTTAGCAGTTTTGTTATTTCTTTTACTTATTATAATAATTTTACAATTACCAAATATTTTTACACAATATATCTGAGAATAGATAATGATAAGACAATACATGCAAAGAAAAAAATGAAAACATTCCGAGGCATTCTTTTTATAATATAAACGTTAAATTTCCTTGGTTTGCCCATGACGCTGTCATTTCATCTGTTACTTATTTCAAATTTTCACATTGTTCTATGTCTTAAAATTAGACATTAAAATTAATGACCTAAAACTGCAATAGTATATTACAGTACAAGTGAAAAAGTTGGCAGTTTCACTCACGCGTGTGTCCAATTTGCACAATACTTCTGGGATCCCACAAAATTTTTGTAAATATTATGGGGTGCAAAAAAATCTCACTGATAAAAAGGGGTCATGACTGAAAAATGTTTAAGAAACCCTGATTTAGAGAATGTCATACCAGAATATTTATATGTTTATCATATTTGAAATTGTGGCCTGTTATTAAAATAATGACATCATGAATTTATCAAAAATCTCATAAAAAATTTCAAAATGCTGATTTTTTTTTATTATTTTTTAAGATATCCTTAAAATTATACATTTTTCTCTAGATAAAAGCATGTAAGTAATTTAGTGTATGACTTCTTTTTAAAGAACTTTAATATTTTTTCACATAGAATGTTTCAAGTTGTTTTTAAATTTGCCTAAAATTTCACTTTATTTAATATTTTTTGGCAGGAAAATAATAGTATATATTAAATTTTGATATTCCATAATTAATCTCTGTAGAAAATAAATGAAAAAAATGTGTTTATAGTATACCTATACTGCTTTAAAAAAATGCTCTGAACATGGTCATTACAAGGTAAAAATTATACCAACTTGAATATCCTTGAATTATTAAAAATAAATATAAATTTTCCTAACTTAATTTCCTAATAACAACATAAAATTAGATAAATTTTAATGAACTATACTTTAGAAATATAAATACACTGGTCACAAAGCAGCTAAAAAAACTGCTTTTGAAAGAGACAAGACTAAGGTCATTTGCAAAACTTTTTAATCTATAAAAGGAGTCTCCACCTAAACAGAAGTTTGAGAAATGTTGGTTGAGGTTAAAAAACAGCTTGTTACATGGCTAACATTTTTAACAGTGAATTTTTAAGAGGAATGGACAAGTTTTCACTAGTGTCACTTTCTGAAATCAATGGTCATCTACACTCATTTCCAAAAAGCTTTTGCTCTAATCCCCTGTATACATATTTTCTATGTTTAAAAATTAAGCATTGTATTTATTGTTTTAGTTGTATAATTAGTAAACCCTTTAGATTTCATAAAATACTTCATGATTATTTTTATTTTCTACTGATGAAATTAGAAGACAAAGGTGATATTCAATCAAATTACTAATTTAAATCTAGATTTACTACTTTTGGTAGAATGAATATTTAAATAAACAAAAAAAAATGCATTAATAAAGGATTCTGTAGCACAGTAAAACCAATCTGGCTTACCTAAATAACATATCCTACTGCACTCAACCTGAGGTATATGTTTTTACCTCAGGCTGAGGTATACGTTTAAAGGTTTAACTCTCTCATATAATTTTTATTACTATTACTCTGCAGGAAGAAACAATACTTACGTATTTTCTCACTGACAATGAAAGTTGGCTGAGATTCTGCACGATCCTTCTTTGTATATACTAATACTCAATATTAATTGTGCTTGAATATACTTTTTAAAAACCTTCAGATTTTACATTATGCCAAAAGGGGTGTTTTTTTAACGTTTTGTGTGTTACGTTTATTTATTAAATATCATATTCTTCGCACTTAAACCATAAAATTCAGTTCAAGAGCAATATCGCAAAATAATTTTTAAAATGAGCATATCCTTAGAATTTCCAATGGACAGTCTCGTACGCTGGAGATAAAAAAATGTTTTTTCGTACAGTGTTGCCATTGCTCACTTTTAAATTGTTGAGTTAGTTAATCAAAAATTCATTTAAGTTTACATAATATAAAAAAGGTAATAAAACAAATTCTAATTTCCAAATTTGGGCTTCCAGATGCCCATATTCAAGGAAGAAACATATGTTATTCAAAATTTGATGGCTGTAGGTACCGTTGTTTTATCACAATACGAGGAACATGCATACATTTATGCAGATTTTTCATTATTTAATTTTTCTAAATATAATAGAGGGCTGTAATGTTTGGTGGCAACAATTTGAAAAGTGAACTGACATTTATCATGAACCAACGCAAACTGCCAAAACGAAATTAATAGTCCTTTTAGGCAAATTGCACCTTTTTTGGGGGGGAAACAAAATCTGAAAGCTTTTAGACCTTTTTTTTTTAAACTTTTTGTACATTACCTTTATTTATTAAACGTTCTTTTCACTTAAACCATAACATTCAATTCAACAGCAATATCACAAAATATTTTTAAAATTAGCACATCTTTAGAATTTCCATTACACAATCTCACGTACTGGAAATTTTTTTTAAAAAATGTTTTGCCATTGTTTGCTTTGAAATTGTTGAATTTGTTAATCAAAAACTCATTGGAGTGTTACAAAATATGAAATTGATAATAAAGCAAACGCAAAATGCCAAAACGAAATTAATATATCTTTTGGGTTAACACCTTTTGGGCTGTAAAAAAAAAAAAAAAAAAAAAAAAAAAAAGAGAGAGAGAGAGCTTAAAATTTTAGAATATCTGACAAACAAATTCATTAAAACTTATGCTAATCATTCCGGTGGCTAAAAATTCCTCATGGCATTTGTGGAAAAAAAGAAAATTAGTCATCTGCTTTGTGAACTTGGCACCATGCATATCCACTTCAATACTAATCTACATAGTATCTTTTGCTTCCATTTCACTAGTATTAGTATCATGCGGTTATTATCCCATTTTTTTTATTCTTAGTCTTTCAGAATCTTGAGTATGTATACCAGTATTAGGATGTATAAAATTACATTGGTGATCAACTTCAAAATGTTTAAATCCTGTAGCTGAAAATTCACTAAATGCTACTGATTATTGGAAGTTTTTATCACAAAAAACCAAAATGGTGTAGATTAAAAATGAGGTGGGTGAGATACTTCAGAAGCTTATTGAAAATTAGTCAAGGTTACAGGAAGCCAAAACAAAGATATTATATTATAACATTGTTGTAGTATGTTTTAACATCACACTTGTCTATCATTGGTGCAAAATACACTTTAACAACAACTTTTGTTTCTGAAAACGGTTGACACAGAAATACAGTAAGCAGTAGGTCAGATGATTAATGTACTAGAATACTAAATATCACACTTTAATGAAAGTTTTCCATCACTGCAAACATCATCTGAGCAGACAGTTCATATTGGTGTGTTTAATTGCACTTTAACAAACGATTTCTGGCATTTGAAAGAAAGAGGCTTGCTTTAGAACATAGTGTTGTGAATTTCTAAAAAAAAAAAAAATATATATATATATATATATCATTATCATTAACTACAAGGTGTCTGAAATGGAACTATCATGCTATCAGATTAGAACCGTCATTTACTTTGAGTTCTGTCGCAAGCTACAGAATGTCACCAAATCATGTATACTGCTTTAGGTACTAATGTTGTATCATATGACACTGTGAAGGTTTGGTACCAAAAGTTTAAAAACAAGGACTATGACATTCAAGAAGCACAGTGCTCTGACCGACCTCCTGATGTTGATGAGGTCTGCCTGCAAGAACTTGTGGAAGAAGATCAGTATAAAACCACTCGAGAGCTTGTTAACGAGTTAGATGTTAGTGCCATGTCAATTAGTCACGCTATGCATCACATAAGCTTAATGTTCAAGTTCAATCACTGGATGCCGCATGAGCTGACTCAAGCAGATAAGGTAAGATGATTTTAGGCCTGCATTAATTTGCTCAAATATCAATGCAAGAACAGAACAGATTGTCATGTGTGACAAAAAAATTAGTTCAACAACACAGGGTTGAAAAAGGGGCTGGTCTGTGCTTGGTGAGCCTGTTGGCAGCATCGCAAAGCACAATTTGACTAACAGAAAGAATATGCTTTGTATCTGGTGGGACTGCCATGGTATTAAACACGAAGAGCATATAGAAAAAGGTAAAACCCTAGACAGTAAGGGGTACAGTGAGATGCTAATACGAGTTGACGCTGCTATCAAGGGAAAAACGTCAAACTGAGTTCCGGTGCAAAAAGGAAATAAGGTACTAAGGTTAAATATAATCAAGATAATACAAGACCACATGTGTCTGCATTCACCAGCTGGACTCTGCACAGACACGAATGGGGTCTTTTACCGCACCCACCATATAGCCCAACATCGCTCCTTTGGACCTTTTTTCACACCTACAGCTACATCTTGCTGGTGCTATCTTCTATTCTGCACAGGACATCAAAAATAAGGTCGATCTGTTTTTGGATTCACAGCTACCAAATTTCTGGGCTGAAGGCTTGACAAAACTACCAAAACACTGGCAGAAAATCATCAATTTGGGATACTGCATTCATGTTTTTTTCTAACTTTATTAAGAATGTTTTTTGGTGTAAAACTTTCATTACAACATTTACAACCAGATATTTACGAAAAGTATTAGACATACTATAAAAGTACTATTATCAGCGATCATCCTGCCAGGGAGTAAAACTTTCATAGCTCAAAGCTTATCTAATGATATCAAAACAAAACTACTTGATATCCAAGTACCTTTAAAAAATCACAATAAAATTCAAATATTTACCAATGATATTAAGGTCATTCCATTTCCACAACCAATATCAAGCACAGGAGAGGATTTATTTATTTTACTCTGCAATAACCAGTCAACAATACGTTCCAAATTTATTTTGCCAAACCTAATCAAGAGCATAGGAAGAAATTTTTACTATACAAAATAGCATTTGCAAGAAAATTAGTTTTACTTTGAAATATATTATTTTACCATATATCACCAGTGTCACCAAATTCTTGGAAATTTTGCAGTTCTTGAGCATAAAATTCATCCCAACTAAAAAGAAAATAGCAGATAATTTGTCTTAAAAAATTGACATTAATAAAAAAATTAGAAGCATGTTTAATTTTGCTTTCTCATATGAACAAAAGGAGTTGAGTTGGACTGTTTGGCACTTACATATTAAGAGGAATATCTTAATGAAAGTCATGATGTTTTCAGAATTCACCAAACTCAAGCAACCACACCGTTAAGGTACAGTTATTACAGTTAGTTATTAAAAATAACATTCCCCACTTTATACATATTCTTTTTTATCGTATTTTAAGTTTCAATGATTTTTATTGATAAATAATAATATTTGACTTAAAAATGACTTAAATTGATTTTAAAATATGCACTTATGAGATCTGCTTTTAATGAAAGAATCTGCACTAAAATTTCTTCAACTGTACACTGGCTTGTTCCAAAACTGTTAAATAAAACAGCTGTTTTGAATAAGTTATTATTGAGAGTTTATCATCAGAAAAAAAGAAACAAATATGCTCTTATAAGTAGGTTCATTGAATGCTTTTCAAAATGCATACTTAACTAAAAGGTAAAATTTGTTTATTTGTTTGGAACATAATACAGTGCAAAGTCCGTAATCCAAACTCATCGGGACTTCGGCGATTCCGGATTATAGATCATCAATTTAAATCTGGTAAGATGGCATGCAGAAATTATACAATTAAAAATATGAAATTGTAATTTATGAAATAAAAAACAATTATGATCTAAAGCGTATCAAAAAAAAAAAAAAAAAAAAAAAAAAAAAAAAAAAAAAAAAAAAAAAAAAAAAAAAGCTTAATACTTATTTGTCTACTTTATTAAACATTTCTTTCAATGTAAGTTGTTTAAAGATGCTTCCACAAAAAATTCAAAAAGTTCCTTTTTCTTGCGTCATATATAGTGGACTTTCCAATGCCATACTTCACCCATAAAGTATTTTGAGACGGATAGGCCTTTATCCATTTTTTGCAGCAATTCCACTTTTTGTTTAATGGAATCATCGAAACATGCTTTCGCTTTGTAGATCCTTTGGCAGCTCAGAATTGGAAACTCTTTTTGACATAATCGAAAGTTGAACTGTTAGAACAATTTTTATAAAATTGTCTACATTAATAAAAATGTAACAGTCTGCAAAAAATAATAAGACGGATAAAATTAGAAGATTAAGGAACAGCGCAATCTGCAATGTTAACTGAAATGGCTTAGACAATTTTAGCCTAGCTTATACCGTCCGTTATACATTAAACGCGTATGTGCAAACGTATTATGCGTTTACACATGCAATATTCGTCAATGAATTGAATACATATTCATCAATGAATCGAAAAATATTTCTCCCCAATGTTAATTCAAACTCAAAACTGCAGTCATAAAAAACGAACAGAAATGTCAGATCACTACAGCTAAGGACCTTTTGCAGATATGGGCCTAAACTAAGGACTTTTAAGGACCAACAATTATTTCAAAAAAACCTAAGGACTTTTAAGGACCAACTGAACCCAGTTTAAATCTCCTTGATTTTAAGAAAATTTGATTTTTCTCGACTTAAATTTTAAAAAAGTCTGAATTTTCAGCAATTGTTCTTACTTTCCTGACTCTCCAAAATTGCCCCCTTTTATTCTTTGTGGCTTTATCCACTATAATACTGGTCTGCTGCTATGAATAATAGGTGAAAAATCTTATATAAGATGATATACAGAAGCATACTTTTAATAACATATATTACAATATGTTTTATAAAAAGCAATCATCACACTGCAATAGAGTGTGAAATATTATACAAGTGCTAATCACAAAAAATTGAGGTTTTAATTTATCTCTGTGTAATATAAGTTTTTAAATATAATTGTAATATAAGTTTATATAAGTAATAACTTTTAGAACAATACGCATGATGAATTCAATAGTTGAGATGTTTGAGAGAATTGAATTAAATGGAAAAGAAATCGCAGTGTTGGGAGGAAATTCACATTGAATGGAATTAAAGATCTTCTTTAAAAGCATACAAGACAGTCATTTAAAGTGCCCTCAGAATTATTCTAAGATGTTTATAATTTCCAAATAAATTCAAGTGAAAATTATGTACAGATTATCAATATCGGTTAATTTTTTAACAGAAATTCTTCAATAAATGTGCAATATGAATCATAATCACTGAAATCATCATTCAAAGATTTACATGGATCTTATTATAAAACACGAAATATCAGTATAGTGATAGAATATGGTGTTCAAAAAATGCATATAGTACTATGGCTCCCAAAAATATTTGTAGACTTTAAGAATTTGTAGAAAAAGCATTGTAGTCTGAACCGAGTTTGAATATAAAGCCCAATATTTTTTCATATCATCTCCATGCAATTTTGAATAAAACTAAACAATTAAATTTTTTTTTTAATATAATACTGACTTTTCTAAAATTGAAAAATGTAAGGAGGTTTAGATAAAACATGGCACTGAAGTGATCGTACAATGAAATATTTTCGGAAACTTTCATAAATAAGACTATCATCTGCTACTTTTTTTTATTTTTGCATTTTGATGACAATTATAAATTCGCTTGGCTTTATTCTTTACTTTCTCTGTTATATTTTATTTAATATTTAAAAATGAGTTGTAGTTGTAATGAAACAACATATATCATTGAAACATAGGTCATTTTTCATCATAAGGGTGGAAAATCAATCCAGGATATCACTAAATTAGTAAATTTATCCCATTCTATGGTGTAGTATGAGATAAAACACTTTAACGAAAATGGAATTGAAAACAAAGTAAAAAGAGGTTGTCTGGTTAGTTAATGTGATCAGAGATTTATAGTTACAAAATTTGTGAAAAATCCACATTTGAGTTCTGTAAAGATTTCTACAGAATTTATTGAAAAATTTTCTACTTCACTTGAAAGTGTTTAATAAGCACTCGGATCAGCTGGGTTACATGGGTGCTCTGCTCAAAGGAAATTTTTTGCAAGTGCAAAAAAATAGAACATTTATTCTTTCCTTCACAAAATAAATTATAAATAAGCTCAAAGTGTATTGAAACCATGTCTTATTTGCAGACAAAAACAAATTTAACATTTTTGGTTCTCATGGGCATATAACTGTATGAAGAAGAAAAAATGAGGAACTTAATCCCAAGAACTTGGTTGGAACAATAAAACATGGTGGTTGAGGTGTCATTGTGTTGGGATGCATGTCAGCATCAGGATTAGGCAATTTAGTATTTATTGATGTCATAATGAACCATGATCTTTATTTAAATGTTTTAAAAGATAATTTGAATTTATCCATCCAAAATTTTGGTATTGAAATCAACTTTATTTTTTATCAGGATAACGATACTAAGCACACGACCCTCAATACTTCCCACAAGTTCTGAAAACACTTCTCACTAGATTAAAACTTGATAGAATGCATTTGGAAAGAATCAGCGGTTAGAGTATGAAGACACAACATAAAAACAAAAAACAAATTAAAAACAAGAATAATGAAATACTGATGCAGATAATGCAAAACAACAACAAAAAATCCAAAAGGTTTCAGATTTTAAATTACGTCCAAAGGGGCGTTTTTTAACATTTTGTGTGTTACCTTTATTTATTAAATACTAGCCGCTATGCAGGCAGCCTTTGTCTGGCTTTTAAACATACCGGAAAAATGCCTAAAAGACACACCTGGGATCGATGGCTGCGTAAGTTTTTTCTCTTTGTTGAAATTCCAACCCTCCCTTGCATATGGCCCTAATGCATCTCCAGAAAAACACATACAGCTTGAATTTTTAGCAAACTGATTGCATGAGATGTGCATTAAACATTTGTTAAAGCATAATTCATATCCCTCTTCTTAACCACCACCAAAACCACATAAAAAATTATATAAAAATTCTACAATAAAATTAAAGTTTTTTAAACAGTTTCTTACTCAGTAGTTTGAATGATTCTTTTTCTGAAATATTGAAATGTTATGATACTTTAGGAATCTTCTGAGAAAATGTGTCAGCAGTCACATTGCAGACATTTAACTTAAGAGAGCATAACATTTAATAAAAAAATTAAACAACTTCCCGTTGAAGAAAAAAAAAAATCATGCAAAACTTTTCAATATCTTACAAACAGTGAAATAAGCAAAAAATAACATGAAAGAAACTCAAAAAACAAAAAATTCTGCGCAGAATTTTACTCTGCAAAACAACTTTATGAAAAAAATTCAATAAAAATGTATTATATATATAAAAAATGACAATGAAATATGCCAATCTCTTAAAAACAGTGACATAAGAAATACGATGAATAATTGTTGCCAAACCCATATTTCTAAAAGAATGAAACTATTCAAAATGATGCGATTTCATCAAAAAATCTATCAACAATAAGAAAGGAAAATTATTGCCAAAATCACATTTTTAAAGATGTGAGAAATGTACTTGGAAGCTTCATTTAAATTTTTTTTTTTTTTTTTTTTTTTTTTTTTTACATTACAAAATATTATCATTTTCCCAAAATTCTTTTAGTAAAAGCAGTCACAAGGATGAAAGTTTAACGTGTACAAAAATCAAAGAAAAATAAACTGTACATTTTTAAAAATAAACTTTTTTAGAAAAAATCCAGTTGAAAAGGTGTTAAGCTCACTTTGTTAAATAAATTCGTATTTAATAGATTTACTGAAACACGAAATTTATTTTAAGTTCGTAAAATAGCTAAGTGCCTATGTTTCATGCCGATGTAAAAATGGAGTGTGTAGGGTAAAATCTCGCTTTCCTATAACCCATTATGTCTTAAAATGATGTGATTTCGTCACAAAACAAAAAATAAAATAAATATAATTCGAATTTCGAAAAAATCGCTTCAAGGTGCACTGGCTCTTGTCTAAATGCACCTATGTACGAAATTTCATAACCGTGGGTCTATTAGTTTACGCGTAGCGCGAACAAAAGACACACATGCAGACAGACTCTTTCTTTTATTATAAGTAGAGATCATGTTCTTTGCACTTAAACCATAAAATTCAGTTCAAGAGCAATATCGCAAAATAATTTTAAATTGAGCATATCTTTAGAATTTCCGATACACAGTCTTACGAACTGGAGATAAAAATATTTTTTCTGTACAACGTTGCCATTACTCGCTTTGAAATCCTCGAGTTCATTAATCAGAAATTCGTAAAAGTTTTGCAAAATATGAAATTGATAATAAAACAAATTCCAAATTTCAAATTTGGGCTTCCAGGTGCCCATATTCGCAGTAGGATTACGTCATGCAAAATTTGACAGCTCTAGGTACCATTGTTTTATCACAATGCGAGAAACACATACATTTTTTTTCCAAAAATATTTTTAATAAAAAATTTAAGAATTCTTGGGCTTATTAAATTTTTTAACGTTTATAAATGTATTAGTAATTAAAAAATATGGAATATAAAAGTAAAAATATTCCTTGTTTGTTTTTGTGCTCACAAATCGTTATGCAAATATGCATTTACTACTTTTAAAGCCTGAAACCTCACGCCTCATTCCTTCTTGTGCTCGCAAATCATTACGCGAATATTCATTTACTACTTTTAAAACCTGAAAAACTCACATCTGCGATGGTATCTTCAAGTGATAATTTGTATGCAGATTCTTCATTATTTAATTTCTTCAAATATAATACAGGGCAATAATACATGATATCAACAGTTTAAAAAGTGAAACAAACATTCAGAGTGATTAAACGCAAAATGAAAACAATAATCCTTCAGGAACAAAGCCTCTTTGGACTAAAAAAAACTTGAACTTTATGTGCAGATGTTTGAAAGCCGTTATAAACACTGCAAGATATCCTGCAAAATACTAACTAACAGAAATACTATAATATTTACTAATATGTGCAGATTTCTTTAAAGCAGGGGTTTTCAAACTTTTCAACACCATAAAAGTGTTTTGCTATTAAAAATCGATGCATCCTAAATGGAGTGTATGTAATCAAAGGAAAAAAAAAAAAAAAAAAAAAACCCTTTAAATTTATATTATTTAATTATATTCATAAATGAAACTTTTACATTACAATAAAATATAAATAAGTATATTATGAGTATACTGGAGTGCACCTACAATTCTTGCAAAATGTAATGTTGGGAAATTGTTTGAAGCTCTTGGAAAAGTTGTCATTTCAATATTACAGCTAGAGTCATAAAAGTCAAAAACTTCAAAAATATATGTGTTTCTGAATAATAAAGATTAAAACAAAATGTTAAAAGGGGCACAATTTTACATTCATTTAATTTTTTTTCTGTAAAAACTATACCACTAAACATATGTACCACAGTTTGAAAATGGTGCTTTAAAGTATATGAAGACTTTGGCTACTCCAGATTTTAGGGTACCCCTTGGATTATTACCAAGTTGTTGTTTCATTTACGGTAACCTGAGTAGTTGAATGTTATGGAAACACTATTATGACATGACTAGTTGTAATGAGTCATTGCGGTGATTTAAATTTCTGAGACCTTATTTCTGCATTGGATGTCACGTAGGAAGTACGCTGCTTATTTTGTGCTGTACACTGTAAAATGACTGCCTGTGATAAGGTTAATCTAAAATTTCTATACGTTTTGGAATGAATGGAAAAAGAAGCGGCACTTTTCCATTTTGCCGGCGTAGGTGATAAAGTCACCAAAAATGGTACAACCAATGCCAAACGGAATATCCTCACTGGTAACCTTTTACGCCTCATTTTCAAAACAAGTTGCAGACATTTTTTATCAGATTGATTGTTTCTTCCAATACTGGCATAAAATTACACATAATTTTTTCCACATAGTTCAATTTTATGCCCCAAGGCCATTCGCGATAATTACGTCAATTAGGATGCAATCACACCGCTCACCCGAAGGCGAAAGAAAGGCAAAGTCAAGGGTTAAATTCATCAATTCTAATGAGAATGGCCTAGTGACATAAAGTACTGCAGTTTTACATAATTTCTGAGTAAGCTATTTGTACAAATTGAAATAATTTTTGCATTTAAACTTGTATTTCATATTAAGATTTAAATTGAAATGAATGTAGATAATTACTGAGAGAATTAGATTTTTGTAGCCTAGTTTATGTGAGATGAGATCACTTGGAGTCGCATGATATGAACAGGTGAATCAGGATGTTGTACTATGAAAGCATAGTAAATTCTTAAACTGTCTTTTTACAAAATTTTTAATGATATTAAAATGTTTATGCCTTCAAACTAAAAGAATTCTTAGAACTAACATTGTTTTTATGTGTATACTGTGTTGTCGCCAATAAAGTCTGCTTGGCGAGATTTGTGCTGGTAAAACAGAAAAGTAACAAGAAGCATTAATTGACTAGTGTGTAAATGAAGGTTTATTCAGTAATCATAAGTGTCCTACTTTAACAAAAGAAATGTGCATGGTCGAAAGAAAAGATCGTTCAGATGGCTTTGTGCAAGAAAGGTTCAAACGCTCATTATATAAAGCATTCCATTAGAAAGGGATCATGGCTTGAGGAGAGTCATTTGAGTATTATTAAGATTTTGATTTTTATGTGGATGTATGTGTATGAAGCTAATACTAAAATGATTAAGATCGAGTTAAATTTGATTCTTATTTTTGTGAATTTATGTGGTGACTGCAGGATACAGATTCTAGTTCAGGTAATAGACAGTTTTTGGGAGCTGTTAAGGAATTCTGCATGTCACACCTATCAAAGGAGCAGAAATTTTAAATAAGTCGATATTTCCTTTTTGTACTGCATAGAATTAGTAACAAGTATTTACATTTTTATGTTACTTCCTTGTTTGATTTAAAATGAAGTTTATTGAGATTATATATTTATTGTTTTAATTATGTTTTATTGCATTATATGATTCGGACGCCATTTTACTGGGGAGGGTGTTGGATGTAAATAGGAAATGGCGCCAAAAATTCGCCAAGAGGTACTCTGAAATATACTTTTGCCAAGACTTTTTTAAGGTAACTTTTCTGTTACTTTTTATTTATTGATCCTCCCCAAAAGAACCTTTTACTATGGCCATAAAATAACTAATGTATTTTTGCTAAGAGAAATTTACGGATATTACCAAATCATTCTCATATATTAATTTTTAATAATGACTAAAGCAATATTTCACTGAAACACGAACAGTTTTGGGAGCCATTGCATATTTTAATAAAAACTAATAATAAAATTAGAAAATGTTGACTGTTATTTAATAATAAAATACTATACATTTAAAACGTACAAACATATTCTCATGTACAATTAATTTTTAAATATAATAGAATAAACAAATGATGATGAAATGATCACACAGAGTAATGTAAATCGAAAATAATTTGTCACTTTCATATCACCCTTATATGAACATACGACAATAATCAGAATAACATATCAACACATGACAATTTAGACAAATGGTAGGCTTCAATTACTATTCTTTGCGGCCCAACTTGCATTCAGGTGAACCTATTTCAGACATTTGGAAACATACACATGTGGTAGATCTACCGGACCACGGAGTAAAATGTACAAACATCTTGTTTTGCATCCGTCAAGTCTTTCTCTCTGGTAAATCTAACGAAAGGTAAAATTTTTCCTAAATAAAATTTCCCTGTATGGAAAAACTTGAATTTTAGTACTGAGCAGTATTCTTCCTTAGATTTCAGTCATGCCTACATTTTAAAATTTTACTTTTAAAATCAAAATTGTTAAACAGTTTTATGCATAGAATGAGTACTTCCTTGATGTTTATATATGAAAAGTGAGTTCAGGCTATTTGCTAATATTTCCTTTAGTTCTTGTTATATTTACAAAATTAATTTTTAAAAGAGAATTTATATTTTAAAAAGGTACACGAATCTTATTATGAACACGAAACTGAGTTCTACGTCTTTAAAAGGTCTCAAGTTGACTCATAATTTGAAATTTAGAATTGGCAACACTTGTATTAAAGTTCAAGGTAGTGAATGTGTTTTTGTGGTGAATAGAGGTAATAGATATGAAGCGATATTTAATATCTTAGTTGACAGCCGACGAGTCTGTCTTTTTATTATTTCTATATTAGTCAGAGGTTTCTCCTGTGTTTCTTTTTATTGGTACATAATACGAAATCACAAAAGAGCTTCAAAAAATGAAAAGCGGCTTTATCAAAATAGAATTAAATAAGACTATATGGGAGGTACCAGAACGGTATCAGTCCTTAGCTCCTGTGGGCTCTGGAGCCTATGGGCAAGTATGGTAAGTAGACTGAATAATAATTTTATTGTGTGAGCCATATAACTGTTTGATTGTCAGATCATCAACATCAACTAACTTCGTCTGATCATAATTTTGTTAGTGAGGTTTATTTAGATTTAAATGTATTTGTTTCATTAGGTATTTTTCTGTTATCTACCTGCGATGTATTTTGTAAGGTTTTTAAATAGTTTATAGATGACAAATACAGACATTACAAAGCGGATGATTGTCAATAGATCATCATCTGCCAGGCATCAAAAAGCATGACAGGTGCATAATGGAAAAGAATGCTACGGTAACATTTGAAATTTTATTTTATTTAACTATTCATCAGTGCCTGCTGACCAAACCATTTGTTGATTTGCTTCCCTTGTGAAGGTCATTTCTTTCTAATTCGTTGTTTTGTGTGTTCAATTTGTATTTTACCATAGTAAATTTGAAAATTTTGGATTTACCAAGCATTGAACAAGCGGCAGTTATATTCTTTCACAATAAAGGATGTCTATAAAGAAAGTCTGTGTTCAAATAAGTGTCTGATAAAAGTGAAATATTTGCTGGAGGTTAAATTTATATTCAGTCTTGCAGAGAAGAGAAAGGCATCTGAAAAGGAGTATGTTTTGAGATGGAAATATGAAACACATTCCGTTTCTTGCCAGTTTACAGTTTATTTATTTGTAATATAAAGAGCTGACTACCATTGATTATTGTAAACAACAGCGTAATTTAAATCACAATATGTCAGTAGAAGAGATTTGCTGCAATTCTTTGGTGTCTCGTTGTAAAACTAAGATTGATGGGGTCATCAAAATCACTGAAATTGATAAAAGCTTGTTCACAAAAAGAAAACATAATGTAAGTCATATATTACCTTCATAGTAGGTTTTTGGAGGTCTGTGTTGAGAAACGGGAGAATGAATCCTAGTTGCTACTCCAGATCTCGGTGCTAAGACTATAATGGACATGCTAGAAAATAATGTAGCAGATGAATTAAGTATATTTTCTGACTGCTGGAAAGGTTATAAATCATCTGAGTTGAAAGCTACAGAATATGCTTACTTTACAGTGAAATCATTTATTTAATTTTAATGATGCATTTGTAAGTTGTCATACCCAATCTGTCGGACCATTTTAGAGCAGTTCCAAATATTAGAGTAAATACAAAGAAGCAGTATGTCAACATTTGACTCCTTTGTAGTAGAAATCATGTGAATATGCTTTGTCTGAAGACTGAAATGTTTTCTGTCATATTAGCAGATGTTTGTAAATTTATGTCTCCCATTTAGTGTATTGTTCATTTCAGCGTGCAGTTTT